ATTTGGACACTTTAATTTTCCTTATGGACTTATTTTCTTACAACAGATGTTTGCAGTGATTTTCTGTTAGCGATTGTCACTTATTGCACTTTATTCCCATTTGGGAGTACACGGGTTGCACATTTTTGTAATTGCACATTTTTGCACATTTTTACACATTTTGCACAGGTTTAGTACCTTGTGGTATTATTTAGAGCACTGTCACACTTTGAACAGTTAGGTTGCACTTTATATTTATTTAGTAAGTTTAGGGATAGCGCTGCACTTTATATTTATATATATATGTGTGTCAGAAATAAATATATCAAAAATAAATAAAAATATATCAGAAATGAATAAATACTTAAAAAATCAATAATTAATGAAATGTCCAATATAAGTAAAAGTCCAATCTTGCGTGCTATCCCATCAAAATGGGACTATTTACTGGAACTTAATGTTTCACATTTTCCGGATATTCTAATAGAAATGCTCAAAATTATATAAGTTACTTGGTATATTCCTCTATGAGAAGCAAGCTGGATGGTTCTCCTCTTTGCTCCTGCTATTCTGCTGTGAATGGGTCCCAGGCAAGGTCCTCCCTCCAACAGATAGTGTTTGCTTGGTGCCCTGTGCATCCCTGTTCATTTTTAGGAGGGTTATGCTCCCTCCAGGCAAACCTGCCCTTACTCTATCCACCGTTATATGTGTTCCAACTGGGAAGACTCTCAAATTTAGAGTTAGGACTGCAGTACACCGGGGTGCCTGGACGTGGCCACTGCGACTTACACATATTTTTGTATGTGTGCAAACTGTGTGCAAATGAAACCACTTAGATTTAACATGAACTGTTAGACAGGGTCTGTTTGGTTGTGTTGCAGGCTAGCTGGTAAGTAAGCTGGGAATTTTTGTTGTTTTTGATGTGCGTTGCCTTTCCATGTGCTCCTTGCTGCAAAAGCTAGTTATAGGTTGGGATGGTTGCCATGTGTTTGTGTACTTTCGGTCTAAGGACTCTTACACACAAAAGCGGCATTTTGAGGTATACAGGCCTTTTTTTTTTTTTTTCTATTGATATCAGTGCAGACCATTGTTTTCAAAGTGCTTGTAAAAAGACTCGTAAACATGCACTGTGTATAGAACAATAAAAAAAATTACTGAAATCTGGTTCGCTTGTCAGTATTTTTGCTTGCATATATATGCATACTCCACACTCCCTTGATTAAAATAAAGCTCGAAGAATTTTTACGCATACGCACATACAGGGGCGGACTGACAACTCATGGGGCCCCCGGGCAATAGGGGATCATGGGGCCCCTGTGTCCTTGCCCAAACTCAAAAAAGCCTATGAAAAAGGTACCAGGGGCATCTCATGGGGCCCCCTACTGACCTCGGGCAGTCCCGAGTTTCCAAATGGTCAGTCCGCCCCTGCGCACATATACATGCAAGTGCTATACAACCCATCCTCGCGTTTTTTTTTCTGACAGGAATGCCTGATGTTTTTACCTCAATACTCTGTGAAAGTACCCTGAATGTGTGTGCTGACTGAAATATACACTATATTTTTCTTATTAAAAAGAACAAAGAAAATATATTCCAGCCTTGGTGGTCCAGGCCGACACTGCACAGCCTGGAAAAGCTTGTTTCTTGAGTTCCTATAAGCAGACAGGTCAGGCAAGCACAGCAATAGGCAAAATATGCCTTAGAATGAATGAAGATACACTGCTCATGTAATCTGTTCCTCCCAGGGCTTCTTCTAATAGCTTGATGTCATTCCAACACGTAAGAAACCTTTAAGAGACAAGTTGTTTTACCAGATTTTAATGGCAATACTAGAAATGTTGAGTTTCGACCAGATCTTTTGACCTTTTGTTTTGGAAAGGGTTGAGAATTGGAGGTTCAGCATTCAAGTGGACCTAAAAATAAATTTCAAAACATTCAGTTATTTTTGGTTATATAGGGCAGCACAGAGGCTAAATGGTTAGCACTTCCACCTGGCAGTACTACGGTTGTTGGTTCGAATCCCAGCCACAGCACCACCTGCCTGGAGTTTATATGTTCTCCCTGTGCCTGCGTGGGTTTCCTCTGGGTACTCCGGTTTCCTCCCACACTCCAAAGACATGCTGGTAGGTTAATTGGCTCCTGTCTAAATTGGCCCTAGTATATGTATGTATGAATGTAAGTTAGGGAGTTTAGATTGTACACCCCTTGAGGGTTAGGGACTGATGTGAATGTACAATATATATGTAAAGCGCTGCGTAGATTGACGGCGCTATATAAGTACCTATAATAATAAAAAAATAAATGAAAGCAACATGCCATGTCCTTCACTCAACAGCTAAGAAAGGTGATGAGATCCAGCAATCTATAAAAGCCAACAAGTCTGATCACAAGTCCAAAGATCATGCTGTTAGGTTTGCACTTATACATAGAAATAAATGCATAAAATGGTCAGTTATTCATGGAAGGGTGCAACACTGGGTCTATCAAAGTGTTACTAAACCCCGGACCCTGCATTCACTATATCTGGTCTCTCAGGACCCTGCATTCACTATATCCGCTCTCCCCGGACCCTGCATTCACTATATCTGGTCTCCCTGGACCCTGCATTCACTATATCTGGTCTCCCCGGACTCTGCATTCACTATATCCGCTCTCCCTGGACCCTGCATTCACTATATCCACTCTCCCCGGACCCTGCATTCACTATATCCACTCACCCCGGACCCTGCATTCACTATATCCACTCTCCTCGGACCCTGCATTCACTATATCCACTCTCCTCGGACACTGCATTCACTATATCAGCTCTCCCTGGACCCTGCATTCACTATATCAGCTCTCCCTGGACCCTGCATTCACTATATCCGCTCTCCCTAGACCCTGCATTCACTATATCTGGTCTCCCCTAACCCTGCATTCACTATATCCGCTCTCCCTGGACCCTGCATTCACTATATCTGGTCTCCCCAGACCCTGCATTCACTATATCCGCTCTCCCCGGACCCTGCATTCACTATATCAGCTCTCCCTGGACCCTGCATTCACTATATCCCTGCTCTCCCTGGACCCTGCATTCACTATATCTGGTCTCCCCGGACCCTGCATTCACTATATCTGCTCTCCCACAGTACACACAGTAAACATAAACTGCTAAATATCTTTTCTCATCAGCAGTTAGAACAGTCTTGTGACTTCAGCAGAGCACTGGTTAAAGCTTGTAGGAGGAGTTTTCTCTCTGCTCTAGGTGGATGCAGAACCCCTGACCTCTGTCTGGACAGTGCTGATTCGCCCTGTGCTGATCACATGTACTCTCCCAAGAAAAAAAAAACCTCTCTAGCAATACACTAAACTGAGCCTGTGCAAATGGCTATGGTTCAGTATGTTTTATCAGCAGATAAGACCTGGACATTTGAACAAGAGGAGGAGCAGAGAAGTCAGGATCAAACAGCCTTTTTACACAATGCAGAGGATTAACCCCTTAGGCTCCACAGTAGGTATAACAAGCATGCCTTACTGCATATACAGACTGATTTTACTGTTGTGGGTTTAGTAACACTTTAGGTATATTAAGAAGAAAACCTGCCATATTTTAGTTAAAAGAAAGAATAGTAGCAAAGCAAAAGCTGAACCACAGGGATTCTTTTGAAATTTTTGCACAATTGTCTTGTGGGTTTTATCTTCATCTTAAAAACATAAATAAAGTGGTTCTAAAGGCAGGTTTTTTACCACCACCTCTGGTCTCCTACTGCACATGAGTGAAGCGCGCTGCGATTTGTGAATGGGCCACAGTTCTCTGGGAAGTGGGAGCGGGTACCTGTTAAAACCAGATATCTGCTTCCCCCCAAAAGGTGCCAAATGTGGCAGCAGAGGGGAGGTGGAGGCAGAAAAATGGAGCTTCCACTTTAAGGTAAAAATTCTTCTGGGTGCAGCTTTTCCCAAGATCCCCTTACCTGAGCCCCATCTCGATCCAGTAATGTGCATAAGATCAGCGGCTCTCCCGGGTATCTGCCTCCTCATTGGCTCCCGCTGCTGTCAATCACAGGCAGTGAGCCAATGAGGAAGGAGTGGGGCTGAGCTTCTCTCTGTGTCTGATTAAACAATGTTCATTCACAGAATCATGGCTCGGGAGCGAGCTTGCTCGAGTGCCCCATAGCAAGAGGTTTGCTATTGGCGGGGAACTTGGCAGGGGGGAGGAGCCAGGACCGCCGGTGGGGGACCCAAAAAGAGGATTGGGACTGCTCTGTGCAAAACCACGCACAGAGCAGGTAAGTATAACATGTTTCTTTTTGTTTTCTTGTTTTTTTAACCACTTGCCCTCCAGAGGATTTCCCCCCTTCCTGACCAGGCCATATTTTGCGTTACGGCGCTGCATTACTTTAACTGACAATTGCGCGGTCATGCAATGCTGAACCCAAATGAAATTTACGTCCTCTTTTTCCCACTAATAGAGCTTTCTTTCAGTGGTATTTGATCGCGTTTTTCATTTTTTGCATTATAAAAAAAAAAGACCAACAGTTTTGAGAAAAAAAATTATATTTTTTACTTTTTGCTATTAAACATGTCCAGTTAAAAAAATGTCATCAGAAGGTTAAGCCAAAATGTATTCTGCTACAAAAAAATCCCAATACGTGTAAATTAATTGGTTTATGTGAAAGTTATAGCGTTTACAAATGGCGGTATATACAGTCAGGTCCATAAATATTGGGGCATCGACACAATTCTAACATTTTTGGCTCTATGCACCACCACAATGGATTTGAAATGAAACGAACAAGATGTGCTTTAACTGCAGACTGTCAGCTTTAATTTGAGGGTATTTACATCCAAATCAGGTGAACGGTGTAGGAATTACAACAGTTTGCATTCATTCATCGTTCGTTTCATTTCAAATCCATTGTGGTGGTGTATAGAGCCAAAAAATGTTAGAATTGTGTCTATGTCTCAATATTTATGGACCTGACTGTATACTGGAATTTTTTTTTTTTTTACTAGTAATGGCGGCTATCAGCAACTTATAGTGGGACTGCGGAGACTGCGGCAGGCATTCTGACACTGTAGGGGACTGACTTGATGTCACTGACATCCCCAGTGACACCAATACAGTGATCAGTGCTAAAAAAAAGCACTGACACTACTGATGACACTGGACAGGAAGGGGTTAACATGTGGGGTGGTCAAAGGGTTAAATGTGTGCTGTGTGTGTGCTTTGCACTATAAGCACACTTCTATGCAGAGCCATACAAAGCAGTGTGCAGGAGCTGACGGGAGAGAATTGTATTGTTTACATACAGTTCTCTCCCTCCGTTAGTAATGCTCGGTAATCACCAGCCAGGATCCAGTGATTGACAGCCAAGACTGCGAATAGCGGCGCGGATAGGGCACGCGCGTCCCCTACCCGGAAATGCAAAATCACGTATATATACATGATTTTGCGCACCCCAGCTGCCCTGTAGCAGTATATCTGCTGTAGGGCAGCAGGAAATCGGTTAAATTTCAACCTCTAGAATCACTTTAAACTTTTCTCCACTAAGAACAGTGAGCATGTTAACCTCCCTAGCGGTCTGATTATGTCAGTATTTCTGTGCTCAAAGCAGTACATTTTTTTTGCATAGAAATATGTATTTTTTTTATTGTAGGCTGTAATTTTTAGGAATAACTCACTGAAATCTGTCCGAACGAGTCTAGGAAACATCCCGGGTATGGTAAAATTTGAAACACAAAATCATAAATTATAATTTAATAAATAATCATAAAATATAATAATAATACATTTAATTCAATAATATAATCAAACCAAAAACACTGAAATTTGAAATATAGCACCAAGTTCGCACATCACTGAGCAAAGTCGCAAAATCGTTTTCAGTGTCTGATGACGAATTTCCCCACGAATCATTATCACTCAATTCTGCAAGTGGTTCTGATTTACTATCGCTGTTCTCTAGCCGGTCTAAAACCGCTTTTGACCTAAAGGGACGCTTTTTGGACGCCATGGACGTTTCTCAGTTTCCAGGCAGAAAGAACAGTAAAAATGGAGGCAGGACACAGGACAAAGCACTCGGGACAAAATGTATGTGAAATGGGTTGATACAGGAATGTTTTACTATGTGATTTTAGTGAATGTCACTTTTTGTCATTTTTAAATTTCCCGCCATTCCGTCCCCCGTACGTCCCAACGTCGCAGGGAATGGAACCCGGAAGACGGATGCCGGCTCGGCTGGAGGACATTGCCGGGGACACTGCAGGGGGGACATTGCGGGAGCGCGCAGGGCAAGGTAAGTGCAGAAGAGATCCTGGAGCAACGCTGCAGTGTATTCCCGAGTGTAGCTCGGGGTTACCGCTTGTGGTGCTGAAACTTTACCCCGAGCTACACTCGGGAATACCGCCAGGGAGGTTAAACAACAAGAATCATCCTGGCCTCACTATACCCTCTGTGCTCTTCTGCCTAAAAATCTTTGTAGCCCCCAATTTGGTAGAAATGTTATGTCATCAGTTGGATTTTATTGACAAAGACAGATTGTTTTTAATAGTTTAAAACTTACAGCTAGAGTCCAAAAAGACTGTATACTATTATGTTGGCCTCCAAACTTACAAAAATGCAAAAAAAAAATTCTCCTGTTTTAAATCTTAAAAACAATAAAAAGATGACAAGCCAAACAGCAAGAATTAAACGTTGTGATTTCATAATGGAGATTGCGTTCATCATTCTTATTCCTAAGCAGACAAAAACGTTTTTCATGTATGGTCCAGAGCCCTAAACTGCATGCTGTCATCACACACAGCTGGCCTTTGGCCTCCTCATTCCACAAACACATTGTTTATCAGAGATGTCTGCAACAGCAAATAGCTATGCTCAATGTGTCGCCGGCTGGTTTTTTCTGCTCCTAAGATCATTGCATTTATATGTTGTAGTTTAGGTAACATTTGAGGTGATGTCTTGTAGTTTTCATTATTGGGATTTACACTCACTGGCCACTTTATGGGGTACACCTTGCTAGTACCGGGTTGGACCCCCTTTTGCCTTCAGAACTGCCTTCATTCTTCGTGGCGTAGATTGTTGGAAACATTCCTCAGAGATTTTGGTTCATAATGACACGAGCTACTCTTTATTATTATTTATTTATTTCAGGTACTTATATAGTGCTGTCAATTTGCATATATATTGTACATTCACATCCGTCCCTAACCCTCAAGGGGTGTACAGTCTAAGGTCCCTAACTTACATTCACATACTAGGACCAACTTAGACAGGATCCAATTAACCTACCAGCATGTCTTTGGAGTGTGGGAGGAAACCGGAGTACCCGGAGGAAACCCACGCAGGCACAGGGAGAACATGCAAACTCCAGGCAGGTGGTGCCGTGGCTGGGATTCGAACCAACGACCCTAGTACTGCCAGGCAGAAGTGCTAACCATTTAGCCACTGTGCTGCCACGGTTGCCTTTCTATCATCTCAGACCAGTCTACGCATTATTCAACTCTGACATCATCAAGGTATTTTCATCCACACAACTGCCGCTCAGTAGATATTTTCTCTTTATCGGACCATTCTCTGTAAACCCTAGAAATTGTTGTGCGTGAAAATCCCAATAGATCGGCAGTTTTTTAAATAGACCAGCCCGTCTGGCACTAAAAACCATGCCACATTCAAAGTAACTTAAATCTCCTTTCTTCCCCATTCTGATTTTCTGTTTGAACTTCAGCAAGTCGTCATCACCACATCTAGATGCCTAAATGCATCGAGTTGCTGCCATGTGATTGGCGCCCTGGCTCCAGCATCTTCAGTGTGGGGACCCGGCTGTGACAGCTTGCGGCTTCACAGCCGGGTGCCCACTGCACATGCGCAAGAAGCTCTGCACTTTGTGAATATCCCTGTAGTCTTTTGGGACCTGACACATGTTCAAAAAGACTACAGGGAGGGAGGGGGGCGTGGACAATTTCCGTTTCTGATCGCCTAGGTGATCGCAGCATAGTGAGAGAGGGTACCTGTCAAATTCGGGTACCCACTCCCCAAAGGTGCCAATCCTTAATGGTGAGCGGGGGACAAAGGCTTAAAGCAGAACTTCCCCTTTTGGGTGGAGCTGCGCTTTAAGAACAGGATTAAAAGTGAAGAAAAAAAATCCATTTATTGTTTTTTTTTATATGGGACAGAGTACTGATAGAAAATGAGGTTGGAAGTATTGAAGCTTTAGCTGTAGTTGTATTTTTTTATCTTTATATCTTCCAGCTGATACTCTGTGGTAAAAGTGACCTGACCTAAGAAATACATCGGGAACATTTCTCCTCCTCTAAACCATTTTTGTTCTTCATACAAACACAACTTCTACTAACCACAGGCATTTTCTTTCATGTGGGTGTCAGTTTGTATGAAATTACTCACGTTTTAACTGTTTTATTTTTGGGATTCATTTTTCGGTCATCTATAAGCTGATGTATTTATCTCCTGTATTGTCTCTCTTCTTTCTAGTAACTCCTTAAAGAAATTCATAGCAAGCCGTGACATTGCTAGTGAACTTCCTTTTGATGACATCACTCATTTAAACAGAAGAGAGTAACACCTTTGTTAAGTGAAGCTTTCTTAATTGCGGCCAGATGTGATTATGAGTTTTTTGGAGAAACAAAATGTCCAAAATATCACCAGCACTTCTGGAAGTAACATTTGAAGGCGAAAGGTTGCAAATCCATCTTTTCCAAGCTAATCAGTGTTGTCCAAAGCCTAGGTCACCTGAGCTGAATTAATGGAGTGACTAGAGAGAAAGATGTCATCAAATGGGAGCTGACCACTGGGTAGTTGTCTTGTGTAAGAACAGGATCATTTACTATCATGGCTGAATGCAGGGTTGCAGAAGGTGCAACTCCTTCTCAGCCATGGGGTCATGTAACCCTAGCATAACTACTGCTTACCCTTTATTTCCTTTATTTTTCCAGTGTATTTATCTTTCCTTCTCATCCATTCTCCTTAAATGTAACTGCTGGTAGGTTTACTAAAAAGAAACAAGCTGTGTACCCCATGTTTCCCCATTTAAAAGCTGGACAGGGTGGTCAGTTCAGTCAAGCAAAATTTTGTTATTTCCATTTTGGATAGAGTAAGGGTGGATCGTCCCATTGAGGAGATTTTTTCTTCACTCCCTGTCCCTTAGCCAAAACAGGAGAAGCAACCCCTGCAAATTCACCCTTGGTTGTGTCCATTTATTTCTTTATTTTATTTATTTCAGGTACTTACACCGTGCTTTACATATATATTGTACATTCACATCAGTCCCTAACCCTCAAGGGGCGTACTAAACATGGTTACCTTTGGATCTAGTTCACATCTGTGTGTTTTCAGCTGGTGCATTCTCTGGAAAGAGTCAGGGACTTTTTTTCCTGCAGCAGATTGCGTTTTGCATGTAATAGTCTTCAATGGACCCGTTTTTGATTGTTTCATATTTTTTTTTGGCTAATGGGAAATTTTGACAGTTCTGTTCATGGAGTGCAGCTTTGATGCGACTTTATGCTCTCTGGCACTCTAGTTGCATCAACGTAGTGCAGGAACCTTTGTGTGTTCAAAGCCGCATGGTAGGGTTAGACTTAAGGACTAGGGTAATGGTCAGGGTTCATGGTAGTTGATAGAATGCTAACCCTAACAATTACCACTAACCCTAATGATTGCCTCCAATCCTAACCCTAACCCTTGCCCTTACCCTAACATGCCACTTTGGACACATAAAGGATCCTGCACTACTTTGATAAAAATTGAGTGCCAGAGAGTATAAATTCAGATTTCATGAACAGAACTGTCATACTTTCCTATTAGACCAAAAAAAAGTAAAGTGCATCAAAGACTTGTGTTGAAAAAATGCAAAATGCACTGCAAAACGTGCCAGAAAATGCATCAATCGCAACACAGCCTCAGGAAATTCCTTGGGGACCCCCGGTCACCAGAACTAGTGTACCCATTGGAAGATTTCCCCTCTATTACTGTCCTGGGGACAACCCAAAATTTGGGATTTTCTTTTTACATTCAGTGATAATGGTAAACAGGACAAATAGAGAGTGTGAATCTCCCTAATGGGGGCACAGACAGCAATAAAAACTGACAGCCGTTCTAATCCTTGTGCACTCTATACAAAACTAAAAAAAAATAGTTTTGCCTTTAGTTGTACTTTAAGCAAAATATGACTAGAAAATGATACTATAAAACATTCACACTCGGATCAGCCAAGCATTTGTGGTGATACCTAGGGAGCAGGCTGACACAATCCCTCTCCGCTGACCTAATGCTATGGTGAGCAGGGAGCTAGTTGCTGGGTTCTCTTAGGAGAAGCTGACTGGTGGCGTATGCAACACGTGAAAATCATCAGTTCTTTTGGCCAGAAACAATCTTATGCATCTTATACTTGTCTCATATATTTGCCTTATCATTGCACGTA